CGGTGTGCCGGGCTGCGGCGTGCCGGGCTGTGTGCCAGCATCAGTTGTCATCTCCTTGCTGGGATCCGGATCCAGCAGCAGCAGCTCAGCCGGGCTGAACCTCTCCGAAGGCTCCAGGAAGCCTGGCCGGGGCTGACCCTAAGGGTCAGATGTGTTTGGGGTGGGAATGCCCCACGCCAGGACCGTGCACGGGCACCTGCTGGGGAGCAGGATCCGGCCCCTCCTGCACCTTCCAACTCACCTGGCTCATTTCTCTGGCAGAGAACTGGATGGCTTTGCTGGCCATGGGTTTGGGCAGAGGTGTGAAGAGGAGGCGGCGAGCCCTGGGGAGGGGGTGGCTGGTGAGGAGGGGAGTAATGGGTGGGGGTCAGGGTGCTGTGGGTGTCACCATTGCTGCTGTCACCTCTTTTTGCTCAGCTGGTAAATGGCAGCCACAGCGGGGAGACCAAGAAAGATGCTCAGGTACTTCAGGTTGGATTTCCATGCTGCTCTCTGGGGACCTGGGGATGGGCGTGGGTGGGTGGTGGCACATCTGTCCCCAACACCCTGCGTGGGGCATGTGGGGAGCCGTTTCAGGGTGAGGGTGAACACCCCATGGGGATGGGGTCTCCAGCCATTACCCAGCGCCTTGGTCTGGAAGTGCCACCAAGCAGTGCATGTCCCCTCGCTCTCCGCTGTCACCTCCCAAACACCCACCCTGTAGGCTGTGCCAGGCTGTAGGTTTTGGAGGGTGTAATGTGACATGGTGGCATCTGCTTCACCATCTGGGCAAATGATAACAAGTGGGCAACCATCCAGCAGCTGCCTGCAGGTCACGGGACTGTCCCACAGGGTTGGGGGTCCCACTCACAGGTCACGTTTTCCCCCTTGGCCACATGGCAGATGAGGTACTTGGCCAGCGCCCCGGGACAGGCGGCACGGGGGGACGGACTCCACCGGAGGGTGACGGTGGCAACCCCGACGCTGGCGTTGATGTGGATGGGCAGGGCCAGGGAGGCTGCACGTGATGGTGGAGGAGCACAAAAGAAAATGGGGGAGCGTTTTGGGAACCCACCTTTTTGCAGGTGAAGCAGGTGCAGATACTCGGCGGTTCCATACGCACCGTTGCTGGCGTAGTGATGCCGCAGGGCAAAAGTGGACCAGCCCCGTGCTGGGGCCCAGCCGTGCACGGCGAGACGGAAACACGCCAGTGCTTCCAGTGTTCCTGGGGCAGGAACCGGGGATGGTGGTTAAACCCCAGCCAGGATGGATCCCCAGGTCAGGGGGATGGGCAGGGGGCTCGGGGTGCTCCCTTGCCTCTCTCTACGTGGATGCTCTTGGCAAGGAAATCCCGGTGGATGCAAACACCCCGTTTGGGGGCTCCCGGCAGCTGCTGCTCGAAGCAATAGGCAGAACCGGGGCTCGGTGCTTCCCACCACGCCGTCACCGTGCTGCTGGCCACGCTGACATCCTTGAAGTTGAGATCTGGGATGAAACAAGAGATGTGAGGGACCACCAGCATCCTGCTCAGTGGAAAATAACACCCTCAAGGCTTCCAAGGAGCTCGGTCATTCCAGATCCTTCCACGCGGCACGTACCCGCGTGCTGCTCTGCCGGCACATGGAGCTGCTGCGCCGGCCCTGTCCCGGCAGCGTTGGCAGCTGTCAGCAGGATTTGGTACTCGGCCCCGGAGAGGGTGAGGTTGTGACCTGTCACCTCCTTCTCCAGCACCACCGTGTCCTCCTCAGCCGGCTCGGCGCAGTGGCATGCCAGCATGCGGGCGCGCAGCATGTAGGTGACGTCCCCTTGCTCCTCGGGGGCTCGCTGTGGTGGGGAGAGGGGGTGGCTCGGGGGATGAACTGGCCAGGGGACACTCAGGAGGGTCCCCAGGGATGTCACCATACCTGCCAGCCCAGGCTCAGCACCCTCTGCCCGTCTCTCCCCAGTTTTCCCAGCTGGTAGCTCAGCACTGGACTTTGAAGGATTTCTGCAAGAGGAAGGAGCCAGGCTGAGCTGTCGGTATTTTTGGGAGCTGCTGGGACCCCACTCGCCTCCTCTCCTCTTCCTCACCCTCAGGGATGAAGATGGAGCTGCTCCAGTCACTCCAGTAGCTGCTCCACAGCACCCTCTGCCCGTCTCTCCCCAGTTTTCCCAGCTGGTAGCTCAGCACTGGACTTTGAAGGATTTCTGCAAGAGGAAGGAGCCAGGCTGAGCTGTCGGTATTTTTGGGAGCTGCTGGGACCCCACTCGCCTCCTCTCCTCTTCCTCACCCTCAGGGATGAAGATGGAGCTGCTCCAGTCACTCCAGTAGCTGCTCCAGGGTGGCAGGGTCAGGCAGGGGATGACCATCCCCCCTCTTTCTCCCAGCTTTTGGCCATTGTGGGGTGTTGGGAGGTCGAGGGGGGGGCAAAGGGCAAAGCCCCCCTGTCAGGATCTGGGAGCCTCCCCAGGAGATGCTCGTCCCGTGTATCCCTGAGTTCTAAACCAACCTGAGTCATCCTCATCCCTCACCGTCTCGCATGTCACCTGTGAAGAGAACCAGGGATGAAGGCACCTGCCCAGTAAAACCAGTACGTTACTGGGACATTACAGCAGATGCTCCCCTGTATCCCTTGAAAATCCCAAGG